GTGAAGTGTATTTTTTTTCTCTATATTACTGGATGATTTGTTAACAACTTTTTTTTCTAATAGGTCAGTTCTGTTTTATTGGTTTATTTAAAATTTATTTTAAAACGATCACATCACGAGAGGGTGTCAATGAAGAATTTAAAAAAAATTATTCAAAAAAAATATTTTCCTATAAATATGACGTTCTTTGAATGTCCTCCATTACGCTCCTCCCCTCCGCAGCATCTGCCTCACAATGTTGTAAAGTAGAAAGGGCGGTTCCTCTTGTTGTTTTTGTTGAAGACAGATTCCCGAGTAAACATTTGCATACACTTTCTAATTTGTTTTCACATCATCCAATTTTGTACATAAGTTAGTCTTCATAAAGGCTAGTGTGAAAGATCAATCATACGGTTTCCAAACCATATAATCATCCAAAAAATAGTTGGTAATTTAGTTAATACATCAAAACTTTTCAAAGTCAACAACGACACCTGTCTTTAAACTTCATTACTTTTTAAGTAGTTGTACTGTGAAAACAATTGTTCACCAAAAGGACAATGCCTCCATAAGGCTATATTTCAATGGATATAGTATTAACGTTTGTCGTATTGAGGATGGGTTTGTTTAAGTTTTAAGAGGTTTGTTTTAGTGAATTTGGGACGAGTTTGGCGAATGAGAAGTTCAAGCCATGAAACATGGGATTTGGAAGGGCAAATACCCTATGATTTTAAGCTACTGAATCGATTTGTTGATATTAAATCGAGTTCTAAATAAATTAAATTGATCTTTCGATAATGAAAAATCGATATGATTCTTTTATATATATATATATATATATATCATTTTCTTTCCTTACATATATAAATAATTAATTTTTTTAATTATATATTATTAATAATAAAAATAAGGTTTAAATATTATTTTAATTTTAATTTTCATTTATTTTGTTTAATGTTTTCCTTTTTTTTTCGCATTTAATTAGGTATCTATTTTGGTAAATTTTATTTAATTTGGTCATTTTTTATGACATTGTTTTAATTTTTTATGATATTGTCTAAGCTTGGTTGTGAAGCTTAGACAGGAGAAGCTCGACCAATAAAGAAAAAACTCAATAGAAAAGCTTGATGAGCAGAGAAGAAGCTCGGCTGAGAAGTTTCAACATTGAGCATCCTCCCTCCACTTCCATACTCTGCCTCTTCACCATGCTACTGCCAACGATAGCATCTCTAGTGTCATTAACAAAGTTGACCACCACCAAGACTTAGTGAGCTCTGCTTATCATTATCTGCCCCAACCTCCTTCAACTTTTGTTTTTGCCAAAACTTATGAGATTACAACATTATCGTTACAATAATTATTCATCTTTTCATCTTCTCCTTTTTTTCCTATTACAATTACAAATAATAACAAAAATTAAAATTGAACAGGGAAGAAGGAATGGATTGAATGAGATAAAAACGGTAAAATGCGATGAGAGTTATAAAGGCCAAGGAAGGCTAAGGATTTCGCTATTGGACCATGAATTCAAAAGATCGAAACCCTCTAGAAGGAGAAGGAAGAAAGAGAAAACATTAGACAACATTGATGATGGCTCTAACAAAGGCGAAGTGATGACGATACGAGTGAGCGACGGTTCTAACTGGGTAACAAAGTGAGGCGACAAGTCTTGATATCAATGGTGGTGTGCTCGACAAAAGAAGGTGATAAACTATTAACTTATTGACCGAGCTTCTTCTCTACTAACTGAGATTCTTACTCATTTTCTCTCCTTCTGGTCGAGCTTCTCAGTCAAATTTCTCCTTTACTAATAGACCACGTAAACAACAATACACGTCATGCAAATAATATTATCTTGTATGTTTTTTCGTTAATAATTTAAAGAGCATAATAAAAAGGATCTAAATTAAACAAAATAAAAATATAATTTAATGCGCAAAAAAATGTGAACCACACTGAACAAATTAGACAATAATAACCAAAACTAGTATTTAAACCTAAAAATAATAATATTTTACAATAATATTAATATTTTTTGTAATTTATATCTTTTATTTTTTATTTTTTTTTCATTCACTCAATCACTCTTCCTCAAATCTTCAATCTAATTCAAAGTTAATTGAGAACTTTTAAATTAGTTCTACAGTCGTCACATAAATTCATACAATGATACTATGTCGATTAACAGGTTTCTTAAAATACTTCTAATATATATATATATATATATATATATATATATATATATATTAGTCGTTAAATTAATGATTACTAGATAGTATTACGTGTTACTAATTACTTTTATTTTTTTCTATAGTAGAATTAAATTAAAAAATTTAGTATTTTAAATTTTAGAAAACTACAAGACTGATTGAATAAATAAATCAAAATTTAAAGAATCTTTCCATTATTGTTTTTTTAATTAATTCGATGCATCATAGATTTCACGCCATAGTAGGATCCTTCAGTCACTCTCGTTCAAATTGTTTTTTTGGTGGACAAACCTTCAGTTTATTTTGCAACTGCGGTTTAATTAGTTTTCTGTCTTTCTAAACTAAAAGTAAAACAAAATAAAAAAGGTCCTAAAACAAAGTAAAGCCGCATGTCGCTTATTTATGTTGTCAAATTCATAAATATGAACCAAACTTTCTTAACAAATTTCCTATTCCTACTCTTTCGGATCATCCTACATTCCAACCATTACAATGATTCATACTCTTCTTTCTTACCATCTTCACTTCAACATCTCCCTCACTTTCAATCTCTCCAACGCCATGCAGATCACCCATTTTCATCATCTTCTTTAATAAATTACAACCCATCCTCATAATCTGCCTTGCAACACACATACACTGTTATGGCACTTTTTAAGACACGGAAGAGATCATCATCACCATCTTACGTATCAACCCTCACAATAGTTGTGTTCATTGCACTATGTGTTTTTGGCGTGTGGATGCTATCCTCCAAGTCAGTAGTGCCACCTCAAACACACAGCGATGAAGACATTGCAACCCGAACGTCCATTGATACCTCTGCAACCAATGATGAACTCTCTGCCTCCCATGGAATGGCTGAAAAAATTGCAGAAACCAGAAAAGACAGTTCCTCTTCTGTCTTTGGGGACAACCCTGGACAGCTTCCCGATGATGCCATAAAATCTGATGAAAAACATTCCAACATGGAGTCACAAAATCAGCACATCATGGCCAGCATGGACGCACAGCTTTCTGAGGAAAGCTCGTTAACTCAAAAGGAGCAAGCTTCCGTGATACACGAAGCCGGTGCAGATAGTGATGTGAAAATAACTGAGCCTGAGAAAGCTCAGCAAACCGTCACTACGGCTTCTAATAACATAAAAAAGGATGAAGAAATCTCCGCCGCGGCGGTGGAACAGGAGGTACAAAGCATTGGAAAGCAGCAAGACGTTCAAGGTTTTGACACTAAACCGGCGGAAGAAGATATAAACAAGGAACAACTTCGAGAGGACAAAGGCGCGGTTGAAGCAAATCCTAAAGCAGACGTGTTGCAACAGGACCCTGAGGCGGCTTTAAAGGGAACAAGTTCTGAGCAGGTGTCGGAGAAGATTGAAAACCAGAAAGTAGATGTGGTTGAGGTAACGCAGAAACCAAAAGCAGAGAAGAAAGGTCGTAAGTCAAAGAAGCAGTGGTCGACACAAGCTGCTCAGTCACAGAAAGAAAACAAAAGACAGCAAGTTGAATCAAACAGTGAAGAGAAACTTGAAGATCACGAATGGTACCTCTGCAATGTCACTGCCAATGAAGATTATATACCGTGTTTGGACAATGAAAAGGCAGTGAAACAGTTGCGTACCACAAGACACTACGAACACAGGGAAAGGCATTGCCCAAAGGATCCTCCTACTTGTCTCGTCCAACTTCCCAAAGGTTACAGAACGCCCATCGAGTGGCCTAACAGCAGAGATAAGGTCACTTTTTTGCATTATACATCAAATACATTCAAATTAATTAATACACCTTAGCTTTTTTTTTTTAAAAAAAGAAATTAAGTATATAAGTTAGTTTAATTTATATGACAAAAATCCAATTTATTTATTCTCGTTTTTAAGTACTTGTGAAGAAGTTTATTAAAGCGTGGCATTAGTAGTGGAGTCTTTCTTTTATATACCTCTGAGGCTAAATTATCAAGTATGTGTGTATATTATATATATTCATCTTACAATCCAATTTAATAATAAAATAATGTACATTAGAATTTGAAGTTAAAAAATTAAGTAATTTTGATCAAAATATTATTATTATTATTTTAAGTTGTTAAATAGATGGTTTTTGTTTGATGTGATGACGCATTTGGAAATAGATATGGTACCACAATGTACCACACAAGTTGCTAGCAGAGGTGAAGGGACACCAGAACTGGGTGAAGGTGACCGGAGAGTTCTTGACCTTCCCTGGAGGTGGCACTCAGTTCATTCACGGAGCTCTCCATTACATCGATTTTCTTCAACAGGTCAGAATGAGAATTTCACACTAATACTGCTAATAAATCATAATTTTTGCTAAGTAGTTTTATAATTTGACTCACGTAGGCTCAACCTTCTATTGGATGGGGAAAGCACACACGGGTGATCTTGGATGTTGGGTGTGGGGTTGGTAGCTTTGGAGGGTTTCTATTCGAACGGGATGTTATTACAATGTCTTTTGCACCTAAAGACGAACATGAAGCACAAGTGCAATTTGCCCTTGAAAGAGGAATTCCTGCCATATCTGCTGTTATGGGTTCTCAAAGGCTGCCATTCCCCAGTCTTGTCTTTGATGCTATACATTGTGCACGTTGTCGAGTACCTTGGCATGTAGATGGTTGGTCGTCGTAACAACTATTGATTGTTCATAATGGATGAGTTTTTGTGCTAACCATGATTGTTGAATAATGTGAAACTCTTTTCTAGGTGGCATGTTGCTGTTGGAACTGAATCGGCTTTTGAGACCAGGTGGTTTATTTATTTGGTGTGCGACTCCTGTGTACCAGAAGCTTGAAGAAGATGTCGAGATATGGAAGGGTGGGATTATTACATATCATATTTTTTATTTTTACTTTTGAAAAGATAATTAACTTAACGATTTAATAATAGTCACTGACATCCTGTAATGTTATTCCAGAAATGACCACACTGACAAAGTCCATTTGTTGGGAGCTTGTGACCATCAACAAGGATGAACTGAATCAGGTTGGTGCTGCTATTTATCGCAAACCCACTTCCAACGAATGCTACAACCAAAGGGCGCAAAGTGAACCTCCATTGTGCAAGGACGATGATGATCCAAATGCTGCCTGGTAAATCTCTCGCTGTATTGTTTGATATTTGACCAGTAAAGTACATAACAACACCTGTGATCTTGATTGGTCGATTTTACTATATTTCAGGTATGTGCCTCTGCAGGCATGCCTACACAGGGTGCCTGTGGACAAGACTGAGAGAGGAGCCAAATGGCCTGAAGCTTGGCCTCGTCGACTAAATAAACCTCCATATTGGTTAAACAACTCGCAGACTGGTATCTATGGAAAACCACCTGCCCAAGATTTTGCAGCAGATACTAATCGTTGGAAAAATGTTGTGGAGGAGTTGAGCAACATTGGTATAACTTGGACTGACGTGAGAAATGTCATGGACATGCGATCCATCTACGGGGGGTATTGATTCAACTCAGGGTACAACTATTCTACATTTTTATACATACGAAATCCTCAATCTCTGTCTCGTTCGTGCAGATTTGCGGCAGCTCTAAAGGATCTTCCCGTCTGGGTGTTCAATGTGGTGACCGTAGATACTCCGGACACACTTTCTGTCATCTATGAGAGAGGTCTTTTTGGGATATATCATGACTGGTGTGAATCCTTCAGCACGTATCCAAGATCTTATGATCTATTGCATGCAGATAGTCTTTTCTCAAAGCTGAAAGATAGGTATGTATGGGTGGAAGTAGTATGATCCTTTAATTTTCGCTTATACTAGAGAAACTGCATCAGGCTTACCCAGTTCTGCTGTTTTGGCTCTTTAGGTGCAAACTAACAGCTGTTATGGCAGAGGTTGATAGAATAATTAGACCGGGAGGCAAGTTGATTGTCCGTGATGAACCTTCCACCCTCAGCGAAGTGCGAACTTTGTTAAATTCTCTACATTGGGAAATATTACATGACAAAATACAAGAGGGTGTACTTTGTGCAAAAAGAGGCATATGGAGGCCTACGGCTATAGCAGTGTCCTGATGAAGTGATAGTGGTTTAATTCAAGGAGTCTTTCAATCGAAGCTATGCAGTGGCGGTAACGTGTATTCGGCTTCTCAACCCCACATGGCACAGCAACTTCCAGAAAACGTCACACTATTATTTTATAGGTTTTCATAGCATGTGTACATCAGTTTTTAGTTTAATTACCCGGAGATTATTATCATATAATGCAAAACTTGTCATAGATGGTGTACCTACCCACTGATTTAGATTTTTACTAGCCAATATAACATGTCTTATTATTCTGTTTTGTACCTGGTTGAGTAATAGTTCATGAGTGTAAACTGAGAAAGACAGGAAAAGTTTGACCTTGGTTCATTCGTATCGTAGGATCATAATTTTCTCGCATATTTCAGACATTTTTATGTCTCCACGCCATCATATGGGATTGATTCACCAAAACATCAATGAAGGGGAAATATTCACAAGTAACCAACAGTTTAACCCAGAGAAAAATATACCAACTAGAGCTCAAACTCAACGTTTCAGAGCTCATCCTTTCAATAGTACTACATGTCTATACAAAAAATTCATGCGGATTCGAAGCAGAATGAAGAAACGACAGGCTATTCCTGTACTAAAGAATACACACTGTCGCCTATATAACCAAAAATAAAAATGAAATATACTATGCTGCTATAAGCTTGAAAACCTCATTATCAATCAAAGATGTCAGTGTCCACATACCAACGAATAGTAGATGCTACTATGCTAGTGCTCGTAAATCTCTAGCACACCATCAACTTGCACTGAGAAGTTTCTGCAACTCACCACTTTGGACTGCAGCACTGAGATCTGGATTTGCGAAAACAACATAAAAGTAAAAAGACTGAGGGAATGAAATACGGTGAATGAAAAAAAAAACAGATCGAGGGGTTAACTGTAGACCATAGGTAATAACTAACAAGAATAACAGATAGAATTTGTTATTGGTATTTCAAAGTTATAAATGAGATCGCATCTGCAAAGAATTGATAATTAATAAAATTAGTTTTGAACTTTATTTTTGGTCAGCCAAAAGATAATTTTACAACAAAAGGGTGCAATGGTTACCCAACTCACATATATATTCAAAAATTCATGTCTGAATGTTTTTATTCTAAAATAATGTTAAAAACCTGGTATAATTTTTACCTATCACAAAATCTACAACTCTACAAGTGACTCTAACTCAATCAATTTTGGTTCCTAAACAATCCCTCACTCTAACTGGACAAGAAAATATTCATCTAAAATCAAGTTAATTGGTAATTCAACTGTGAGTATGAGTAGCAATTTAGAACTAACCATCTGATCCACCAATATGCTTGCCATTCACAAATACTTGTGGCACTGTCCTTCGTCCGATCAAATCCAGAATAACACTCTGAATTTCATACCCGTCTTCTACAGGAGGAAATAACACAAGCACCGTGACCCACGTGAAAAGTTTGAACAACGAGAGAAATTTTAACATGACAGACGCAAACTGGCTAGTTATGATTACCTCGTAAATCGAGCTCCACCACAAACGGTTTCTCATTTAGTTCAGCAAGTATGCGTTTGGCGCGCAAGCAATAGCTACGAACAAAAAACAGAGTAGCAAACCCTAATTATTGAGACAATATTGCATCAAACGGAATGAAGGAAAAGGGGAGTGATATCGGATAAAAGGAAAAGGGAGAAATTAGAAGGAACGCACGGGCAATAGGATTTGGAGAAAACGGTGATTCTGTTGGAGTAGATGGCGTTTTGAACGAAGGCGGAAACAGAATTAGAGGCTTGGACGTTCAGTGTTCCAAACCACAACACAAAAATAGTGAACGTCACCGTTACGATCATACTCCACCTTAACCCCATCATCATTCTCCTTCTCTTTACGCAAATACACTGTTCCTTTCCTTCCTCTTCTTCAACGGGTGCAGTGCCGCGGATTTCTCAAAACGCAATGCAAAACCGTAGTTTTGGTGCTGAGACTCAAGGAATTTGGTACTGAGACTCAAGGAAAGCACCTGTTTCTTCTAACATAAGAGTTCTTCAATTAACTTAATTTAATTACTTTTTACAAAATTTAATTTTAATTTTTATCTATTGTAGAAAAAGATTATTAAATATCATGTCATAGAAAATATCAAATTGTCTTTTTTTCATTTATATTTTTTCCTTTTTCCAGTTTGTCTTTTTTTTTCCTTTCTTAATCTCATGTTGTATCTTCTAATCTTTCACGCAATATTATATCTCTATCCTTCTTTGGTTTATTATTATTGATCATGAGGACTTCTTTATTTCGCCACTTTGAAAAAAAAAAAACTTCAATCATCCTTCAATTCAAAGAATGGAATAAATTAGAGCGATACACGTTTTATTTTTTTATCCCTTTGGTATCTGAAAATATATTTTAACTAATCATCTATATAAAGTGCATAAACGATGCACCTGTTTTATGAGTATTTATAGTTTATGCAATGAAAATAATAGTTAGACTCATAAATTACGAAAATTACATCCTCATCCTTCTTTTTCCTTTTCCATCTCATCATTTTTGTTTAAATATTTCAATCCAAATTTAATATTCTTACTTTTATTAGTTTATTTTCTTTATTCACATGGATCCAATATATTATTTACAGAACCTATTATATATAAAATTTAATAGTAAAATCATTTATATTATTTAAAAAGTTGTTTTTTAATTTGAAAAATAATTAAATTAACATTTTCAATTTGAATAAAATTTAAATAATAATGTTAAATTTTTATTAAAATATTAAATAACATTTTTTATTTAAATAACTTTTCAGCAATTAATATTAATTTTTTATTAAAATATTAAATTATTAGTTTATATTCAAATAAAATTTAATCACTAATATCAATAATGATTAACTTTATTAAATTTATAAATTTATTAAAAATAAAAATGTCTAATAATTATTGAAATAATGTAATTAGTTTAGTTTAGTAATTTATATGAATAATTTATTTTGAAAAAGAATTGAAGTTATTATAAAAGAAATTTCAGTCTATTTTCTATTTTATGAAAGTGAAGAATAAAAATTGTTTATTAAGGAACCAATTTCTGAAAGCAAGAACTGATAAATCTATTCCTTAAATTTTTGTGCTAATATCTTTGTTTGGAAAAGGATTTATTGTATAGAAACAATATGTTAATAATAAGCTGCTGGTAAATTTTTGTGCTAATATCTTTGTTTGGAAAAGGGTTTATTGTGTAGAAACGTTAATAATAAGCTGCTGGAAAACTGAAATGAATAACAATTGTGTGTCTGTCGGTCAAACTCCTGGGAGAAAAAGTCAGAAAGTCACTGTTGATTGAAGGAAGCTTCTCATCACCACACACGAAAAGAAGTGGAACAGAACCCCCCCTTTTGCTGAAGATCAAGTCTTCTCCTCTTGTTGGGAGATCCTAACTGCAGCAGACGATGGCCGAGGTTGCCGTGCAAACCGTTGCTACAAAGCTGACGGAGCTACTGGTGGAGCAAGCAGCGGTGGCGGTTTCACAGCTTGCAGGGGTAAGAGGGCAGGTGGAAAATTTGAAGAACGAATTGGGGTGGATGCAGAGCTTTCTCAGGGATGCAGATGCCAAACAAGAAGGCAGCGACCGAGTTCGCTTGTGGGTGTCGGAAATCAGAGACGTGGCTTTCGAGGCAGAAGAACTAATAGAAACCTACGTGTACAACACAACCATGCAGAGGCAGTTGGACAAGGTGTTCAGACCTTTTCATCTGTACAAGGTCAGAACCAGGATTGACAAGATCCTGTCCAAGATCAAGAGTATATCCGTCAGGCGGGAAACCTACGGCGTCGTAATGACAGGTCATGATGGTAATAATAGTAATGAAAGGTTGAGGCAGTGGAGACAGCCTTCTCCTTCTTCTGAGGAAGAGTATCTTATTGAGCTTGAAGATGACATGGAGTTATTTCTTAGCCAGTTGCTTGCCCTGGAACCAAACCCTTACGTAGTTTCTATAGTTGGCATGGGGGGTTTGGGGAAAACCACTTTGGCTAAGAAGCTCTACAATCACAATAAAATTACCAACCATTTTGATTGTAAAGCGTGGGTGTATGTCTCTAAAGAGTATAGGAGGATAGATGTTCTGCAAGGGATTCTGAGGGATGTGGATGGTGCCCCCAGACATGAAATGGGGAGAATACCTGAGGAAGAGTTTATCAACAAGCTGCGCACTGTGTTGAGCGAGAAAAGGTATTTGGTGGTGCTTGATGACATTTGGGGGATGGAGGTTTGGGATGGGTTAAAATCTGCCTTTCCTAGAGGGAAGATGGGAAGCAAGATATTGCTGACCACAAGGAATTGGGATGTTGCTTTACATGCTGATGCCTGTAGTAATCCTCATCAGTTGCGGCCATTGACAGCAGATGAGAGTTTGAGATTGCTCAGTAACAAAGCTTTTCCTGGAACGAACGGCATCCCCGCAGAGTTAAAGGATCTTGCGACGGAGATTGTGGTCAAATGTGGAGGTTTGCCTCTGGCTGTGGTAGTGGTCGGTGGTTTGCTGTCTAGGAAGCTCAAGTCAAGTGGGGAGTGGAAACGGGTGCTGCAAAATATCAGCTGGTACTTGCTAGAAGAGCAAGAGAAGATAGCAAGAATTTTGGCTTTAAGCTACAATGATTTGCCTTCTCATTTAAAGTCGTGTTTTTTGTATTTGGGTCTTTTCCCGGAAGGTGTGAACATTCAGACAAAAAAATTGATCAGACTATGGGTAGCGGAGGGATTTCTTCCGCAAGAAGGAGAAGAAACTGCTGAAGGTGTTGCCCAGAAATATTTGAATGAGTTGATTGGTAGGTGCATGATTCAAGTGGGAACAGTGAGCTCGTTAGGCAGAGTCAAAACAATTCGCATCCACCATCTCCTCAGGGATCTTTCACTCTCTAAAGGAAAAGAGGAATATTTTCTCAAAATATTTCAAGGTGATGTGACAGGTCCATCCACTAAAGCCCGGCGCCAGTCCATGCATTCTTGCGATGAGAGGTATGACTTCTTAAAACACAATGCGCATCATTCACGTTCCTTGCTGTTCTTCAACAGAGAATATAATGCAGATATAGCCAGGAAACCCTGGCTTCCTTTAAATTTTCAGCAAGAAAAGAAGTTGAATTTCATCTACAGGAAATTTAAGCTACTCAGGGTATTAGAATTAGATGGTGTTCGGGTAGTTAGCCTGCCAAGCACAATAG